AGAGCTCGCCCAATGAGAGCACTGCGCAGGGCTTGCTGCTCCACCAAACATGGGCATTCCAGCACCGGGTTTCAAAGCAACAGTAAGCTTTAATCAGGCAAACACCGAGGAATACTTTCAGAAGCAGCCTGAATTAATCAGGAAACAGGCATTTCAGAAGCAGATAAAGATTACCATGCTCAACCTGAAAAGATGAGCTTCAGTCAAACTCAGCAACAACTCACCCATCTGCTCAGCCTTCAAATCCGAAAGTAACTGAAGAGTTCACTGGACAAACATTTACCCATTAGGCAAGGTCCACGGTAAACCCCCAGCTCCCTGGCTGCAAATGCTTCAGGTTCAGGACCCTGGGGTCTGGCAATTTCTGACACAGCAGTGAGAATGATGCCTTCAGCACATATCAGCTGCTTGGCAGGAGGAAGACGCGCAGCGTACAAGAAAGTACCGGCTGGATGTTTGCACTCACTTATCCCAGCACCTAGACAGCAGAACGGAGCTCACACTGCAGACACAGAGAGGAGATCTTGAAATCACTTCCTGAAACATTTCTGCATGGATCCCGGCCCAGCACGCTGCTAGCGGCCACGCAGCTTGCATGACAGTTCCGGCCCCTGGTGCGGCGAGAAGCCAAGAATTACTCACATCACAGGAACAGCTGCCAGCCACGCGAGAGTGCCGAAAGAAACAGGTTCCGAGAGGCAAGCACAGTGAAGACGCTCAAGAGAAAAGCTCAAGGGTTGATGCAAAATCCATTCTGCAAGTCCTCCAGGGGTCAGGAGCAGTTGCCTTCGAGGAATTAGCTGTTTGCCACCTACCACCGGTGAGGACTGAGTGGGAAGGGACCACAGTGCAGAGGTCTGAGGTCATTGCCCAGCTTGCTGGAGTCTTTCTGGATGCCAGACCAGCACTCCTGGAGAAGACACCCTTGCGGGAAAGTAAAGGGAGCTGTGACAGGAACGCCTTGTCAGATTTCAGGAAGGGAGCAGGGCTCTCGGCAGTGACAGATGGGGAGTGGAGCCCTACAATGGCCTTGCTTTGGCTTGGCCTCCTTGCTCGCACCCACGGGGAAGTGGCCGAGGGGCACTGAAGCAGCACAAGCCACAGTTTTGCCAGCACTACACAACTGTATCAGTACAGCACGGCAACTCTGCGATACCAGGAAAGCATTCCCACCAGGAGAATAACCTGACTGTGTAAAGCTTTGGATTTAAACCACACAAACAAAGCACATACGCACAGAAATACGAAGCTTCTAGTTTTGAGCTCTTTACTTAGAATTTGCAATGTACGAATAAAGCAGGGTTTTGGACACAGGCCTCCCACTCCTGAATTAGCACCCAAGCTGGATGCCATTACTCCTCTCAACCTCATTTTGCCTCCCACAAGCCAAATGAAGGTACACAGAAGATGTTTCATGCTAAAACCTACTCCTGCTGGCATTCAATGACCCAGCTTTGCTCTTCCCTCACATGTTATGTGACTGACACCGCAGAGCTAGGCCAGCTTCACGTCTGAGCTGCACGGACATAAAGTTGACTTTCATGGAAGGAGCACAGAAGAACCATTTTGACACACTGACCACAGCAGTGGTTCAAAGAAAGCCAAGGGCCAAAGTAGTCTGGACTGCCAAAGAGAAAACAAGCCTCATCATACACCAATCACTCTTTGCAGCAGATAAACCCTGGCACTGGGGATGCGACTCCCTATTAGTGCAACTGCACATCCTGCATCGTGAGGCAAGTTCATAAACCAGAGGCTTCAATGTCCTCTGCCAGTGAGAAATGACTTGAACTTCCACTTAGACGCTGAACTGCCTTTGTAAATTGCTCCCACTGCCCACAATTACAGCCGTTTGGGTGTAAGCAGTCACCTGCTGCTCCTAATCTGTGTAACACCAGGGAGGAACGAAAGGCAGACAGAACAGTCACAACTGGACAACACAGAAATCAGTCACAGATTGTTTCCAGTTCCAGGATTCAACAGCTTCAGTTCTACAAGGTAATACTAAACCATGTATTTTATAAAATTAAAAACCACTATGTTTAACTCTTTATTTGGTAATTGGTAGTTCGTAACACTGAACCTAAAGTTCAGCATTAGCAACTGATACAAGCACAGACTAATCAAAATAGACAGTAAATGCAACAACAGCCTACAGGGCGGTTGACAGCTTAAAGAGCAAGGTCGTTCCCTATTCTATTACAGCCCTGTTGCTGTACTCAAGAGACTTCTGCTACTCCAATCACGCAAGAGAGATTATACCGGCTTCTTACCAGAGAAAATAAATTGTTCTGCAACATGAGATCAGGGCTAAATGATCTTCTGTTAAGAGCTTCAGTGAGCAGACTGCTGAAATTTGTGCCCTGAATCCGTCAGTGCTTAAATACTGATCTAAATTCTTCTCAAGCTTTCAGAAGAGCAACACTCAAAAGTAGCCTCAAACCATTTAGAAAGGAAAGCAACAGAGACAGCGCTCTCATTTCAGCTCTTTCAGCCCAGAAACGCGCGCACACTCAACTACCGTGTGTTGGCCTTTGTAACCAACAATTTGCCAGCTGCTTCCCCAGGCAAGGAAGTCAGCCGTTTGGTATTTAGAGCATTTGCAGACGTTAGGTTGTGCAAAGACAACCTCCTGCTATTCTGAAATAAAAAGCAGCCCTCTGGCCCTCACCTGCTGCTGTTATAGGAAAGTCCCAGTAGCTGTGAGCAGTGATAACCCCTCATATCCCACCCACAGCTAACAGCGTAACGCAGTTAGAGATGCAAGATGTAGTAAAAAACAGAAAAGCTTCAGTTTTGAATATCACAAAAATCAAGGGGGCAAAAAGCATTGAAGGATTTTTCTGTTATCAAATTCCTGAAGCAAGCAGCATGTCGTAACTCTGGCACCAGCAGAAAACAGTCCTCCAGGCCTTGCTGCAAACCTCCTGTTGCTGGCTCTGTCACCTGTTAATACAACGGCTGCTGTAAACAAAAACATGTTAGCCTTGGTGGTTTGAAGGATCACAGTCTCATTGTTGCCCAGGCTCCAGCTTTTCCCTATTTGACCAAAAATTAGCAGAAACTTGTATTGGTTCCTTTGCAGTTCCCCAAGGGAAACAGTCAGTACTAAGCAGTACAAAGGACACTAGAAAAGCAACCGGTGGAGAAAAACAGGCCTTTATCTAACTTAGCTATAGCTATTAAAAAACCATAGATAAGATACTGATGTCAAAAGCACAAACTCATCATCTTAGGGGCCATGGACAAGCTCTGTTCACATAAGGCAAGCGACTTTTTAAGGACGGAGAAAGTTTCCCTGACCCCGCCAACTAATATTACCAAAAAAAGCAAGAGCAGCACTGGTAAAGCTACTCTGTAACCACCACACAAAATCCAGAATGCCAGAATCAGACCAACACCTGAGGACTTCTACGCCTAAATCATAATTGTCTGGGGCTTCTTTTCATAGAGACGGGTAAACAAGAAGCTTTATACTTCACAAAAAATGGGACCAAAAAAAAATTCCACAAGGGGAAGACTCCTGTTCTGAAGCAAGCCCGCAAGGCAAGCTTCCCTGTAAACCAACCCCCTCCTCTAAGTGATAGTCTTCTACGTTCATGTTAGGACACGACGCACACCTAGATTTTGTGTGATGATTTACTGTGTTATTTCGCATACTGATCTCACGCAATCCCAGAGCCTCAGGAACACAGTTCTGCTCCGTGCTACCAGACGATACGTCAGTACCCAACAAGGCTTTTGTATGACAGCCCTGCAATCCTGTAGCTTCAGCTAGTCTCACCTGGTAGGACACTGCATTTGAGCCAGAAAAAAAGCAAGAAAACTGGGAACAGACAAGCTGGCGGCTAAGGAGAGGAGTGTGCATCAAAAGACAAAATTTCTGTCTCATTCTGCTATAGATTTTTATCTGTCCACGGGAAAGCCTTGCCTTTCCTTCGTAGACAGGGTATGATGGACACTCTCGCTCAGCAGAGCTGCAGTGGTACAGTTCTCTGCCATTTCTCCAGTGAATGAAGGGTATTCCTCCAGCCTGGATTGTGCGGGGGAATAGGAAAGTCGCTGCTATGACTCATGGCTCTCCCCACATTTTTCAGATAGCTCTGGCAGCAGCGCGGACACCAAGAGCAAGAGCAGCAGAAGCCCCTGCTCTCCGCTTCCTCCTCCAGATTGAAGCAGCGTGGGTGTTATTGCTGGGAGCTGCTGCCCTCTGCTGCCACACAAAACAGAACCGAAATGCTCAGCTGACAAAACCAGGTTTACAGCTACATATATAAAAAAAACCCACCATGGTAATAACCAGAAGGTCACAGTGCATTCAGATTCCAAGCGGGTTCACCCAGGCCCCTCAGTTCTGGCCTTGCGCTTTATAAAATGCCGGCCCCTTTTGCAGTGCAGCCCAAGAGGCATCTGGCAAACCAAACTCGGCCTAACGGATGATTTTACCAGCCCACCACCTTTGCTGCAGCCGTTTCGGAGGTCAAAGCACTCAGCTATTAGTCCATTCACCAAAACACCTCTTACTGTCTGCAGATCTTTGCAGCGGGTTGTGAACATCGCCAGGGACAGCGCCAGACAACATCCCACCCCCAGCACGGGGCTTGGGCTAGACTGCAGGAATAAACGCGTTACCGCCGTCCCTGTGGGGCCACGTGCGGTTCTCTCCTCGTCTCAACCTCCACAGCGGCGGTGCCACCGGGAAACTTTCCCAACCTTTTTAAACACTGTCCAGCAGGGGAAGCCTAAGTGAATTTACAGGCGTATTTTTAAGCTGAGCAAAGACAGAGGTCTGCACATACAGATACTCTGCAGCCCTCAAGCAGAAGAATCTCAGTCTCACTTTCCTTGAGGTCTGTATGTGCTCATGACAAAAAAAAAAAGCGTAAAGGAAAAAGGAGAAGAGACACCGTGCTCCACAGCACATCTCCAGTCCGCGCGCAGCAGAGCGGCACCCGGTGTGCTCCAAGCCCGCAGCAGACACATCGCATCTGCCAGCTTACCTGACTTCCTCACCAGCGAAATCAAACACTTTGGTGATCGTCACTTTTCCTGAATCTTTTGACTTCTCAGACTCTTTTGGCTTCTCCTGAGGCTTCTTCCCACTATTCTCTTCTTCGGCCTGTGAAACACAAAGGAGAAAGCAAAACCATGCATTTGTAGAGCCAAGCCAAATTTGAGCCCAAAGGGCCGAGGACCCAGCGCAGAGCTCAGGTAGCACTGCATCATCCAGCCAGGCTGGCTGGTCAGAGCAAGTCACCCACAGACAAGAAAAAGGAAACAAACTTCCAGAAGGAAATTCCCCACTTTGGTTACAGGCTCTCACGGGAGCTCAAGGATCCAGACAGACCCAAAACGAGCAGCAAAAATGTAACTAAATCTAGAAAGGAGCAAGAATACACTGCTGTGGTTCAAAAAGCAAGCAAAAGCCTGAAGACTCAGTTCTCCCAAACTAAGCACCACTAGGCAGTAAAGCTGCCAGGGTGCAGTACACAAAAATATGTTTATTTTTACTCACACAACCCACCAGGAGGAAAAGCAAGGCTGATCTTCACAGAGAACCCTGAAGATATTAAGCTACTTGTCAATAACGTCTCTTTAATGTGAGAGGAAAATATCTTTATTAAGCAATTTGCCAACAACACCTCTTAATTTACTCAGTCACAACTACAGCTTTTAACAGCATACACAAAAAAACCTCAGACCTTATAAATAATCAAAACAAAACCCAAAATTCTTCCTCTAAATCAACCACACGCCACAGATGTCTTCGAGCAGACATGTCCAAACCAAGATGTTCACAAAGACTGCAGAGGAACTGCATCTCTCCATAAATTTTCCCAGGCTATGGAGGAACTTCTGCTAAAACATGAGTGGTTTTTGAATCTGCTCATAAAAATAGAATTGCTCAGAAGCAAACTTATCCTCCCTCCTTCTCTCTAATTCTACCTGTAACCATCTCAGTTGTTCAGCCAGTAACAGCTGCGGTGGAGAGATGCAGGAGGGTTCAGATGAAAGGACTCCTCTAAAAGCTGCAAGCAAAGATTACACAACTAAACTTGTTCTGCAACCTTCCAACGGTCCTAGAAAGAAGCCTCACACAGTGAGGGAACTGTACTCGCCAGGCATCAAGTCAAGAGTCCAGACTTTTGCTACAAAATATTTTCTTGGCTGACCACTCAAAAAAAAAAAAAAAAAAGACAATTCTAGCAACAGAGGGTCAGTCTTGGTACCTTCTTCCCTTCCACCACCTTCAGTGCGACAGGTTTTGCAAGGCAAATACATGCATTTGGTTTTACTAAAAACCAAATTATTTTAAATAGCTGATTACACACACAGAATTCTCTCTACAGAAAAGCTCTGCAGACAGAGAGCGAGAGCACGTTAATGGGGTTTATAAAGGAACCTAGAGAGAGCCAGATTCACTCTTATCACAAATGACCATCCCAACACGCAGCATCTTCCAGACCCCCTCCCTGTACGAGGATGAGGGGCAAGGCACAGAGATGCCAGCACAGGTCTCTTCTGCTTCCCCACTCACACACTCTCACAGTCTCCCCCTTCTCGGAGCATCATGAAGGGCGTGAGCCTCACGAGAGCACTGCGTCCACAAGCCCAACTCAGACCGAAGCCCGCTGGGCTGCTCCTATCTCACAAGGAGAACCCAGGACAAGATAGAGAAGCCAACAGGGCTCCACGGGACACTCCGCGATGCTGACCAGCAGCTCCAAAAGCAGCACTGCCAGGTCACAGACCTCCCCAGTTGGGAACAAACCAGCAGCTTACAGTTTGCCCCACGACGGAACTCCAGGCTTACAAAGCAGATGGGGCAGGGGCAAACCCAGCCTCTTCCCAGCTCTGACTGGCACCTGGTACCAGCTAGAACCAGCGCTGCGTGCTCTAAACCTTCAGGCCCGTCCCACACTCCCTGGGTGAAGGCCCCCGTTACCTTCTTCGCTTGCGTGGCAGCCCCCGCTTTGGGTTTCTGTCCCACGTCGCTAAGGAAACTGGCCCAAAGAGCATCCTCTTTCCTTTTTTCTTCTTCTTCTCTGTTTCTTTCCACCTGCTCTATGTTATCTACTTCCTCTTCCTCCTCCTCTTCATTCTGCTGAGCCTTTTCTTCTTCTTTCTCATCTGGCTCCAGCAAGAGACCTCCTTTCTTCCTCTTCCTGGAAGCAGATGCCAAAAAATAAATAAATAAATACTCCGAGGTGCTGCAACACTGTTCCAGAGCTGGAGCGCAAGCAGGGGCGAAGCAGCGTGGCATTCCACATTCCTGCCAAGCTGTTCTACCTGGGACGTTTCCCCTGATCTCAGGGGGTGAAGGGAGTTAACGAAAAGCCGATGCTGTTGGGAAGACACGGCGAGGCTGAAGCAGGCAGGCCCCTGCAGCGGGCTGGCAGGTGTGTGCCACGTCCTTAAGTACGCGATGGGCTCCGGGATGCTGCAGGACCCACTTGGGCAGGACAGGAACCAACCTCCACCAAACCGTACGTGCAGGGGGGGCTTTCTCCCACCTCAGAATCACAGAATGGTGGGAGTTGGAAGGAGCACTGCGTCCAGGTGGATCTTGAATATCTCCAGAGAAGGAGACTCCGCAGCCTCCCTGGGCAGCCTGGGCCAGGGCTCTGTCACCCTCAGAGGGAAGAAGTTCTTCCTCATG